CCCCCCCCCCTCACCCCCCCCGCTCCCCTCACCCATGCCTAAGTTAGCCTCATACCTTGCTGTCCTCGGGAACCTACCATCGTCTTTTTCTACCTGTTCCTAATCTGTTCTGTCTGACTTTATTTTTCTGATTTCTCTTTGAAAAGTTAATGCCTTTTGCAAGGCAATGTTCATGGGCTCGCTTCTTTAGAGGATGCTGATGGTGACCTTTTCCACTTGTGAAAGTTCCCGATTTTAATTTTTGCAGGCTCCCGCAATGACCGAAGGATGACAGTTCAGTTCTGGCAAAGCACCGAGGGAGCTAGCTCAGTTCATACACACATGACTGTTGAAATACAGACCTGAGTTCGAATCCATATGGAACTAAATGAATGAAATTCTGAAATACCTGGGCAGTTGGGCTCGGTCAGTGTCAACGGTATCTCAACGCAGTTTCCCATCGGTCAGTGACAATGGTATCTCAATGCAGTTTCCCAATTTCAGGAAAAAAAGACAGTTATGGCAGAGCCAAAGATCCAACCTGGAGGGAGATCCCACTACCGATGTATGTGGACTAGTGGAGAGGGTGTGTGAGTCTGAAGCACCGCAGATCGGAACGGTGATCGGCGGTGTGCTGTATTTGGCATTTGAGCGGGGGAACATGTATGTATTTTTGCGACCTCCGATTGGCCGCTCTTTTCTTTTTATTTTGTTGAGTAGATTGTGTACCGGACCTTCAACGCGAGTGAAAATCATAATGATTTTTTTCATGATGATTTTCACACACCTTCCACATACCTCTTTGGCTCGTAGCCCACGCATGGAAGAGAGGCTGAAATCTACAATGTGGGAGGTGTTTCGATCCCATCGCCTACAGCAAATACGTCATAGAATTACTCTAAACCACTAGTACCATTGCCGCTTGGGAAAATAGCGGGCCTCGGGTAGGCGTCTGACCTTTGCAGAGGCCGAAACGAAACGACGGCCGCCGATCAGATTTATCAATGGCAGTCGTCGTCGGGCCCGACCTCCGAAAATTCAGGCGATTGGGAAAACAGCCAGTTTTCCCTATTTTCCCACCCGGGAGTACTAGTGGTCTAACATCTGTCAGAGCAAAGGACCGGGGTG